AAATAAAAAGCAAACTGCAAACATCACTCAAGTCTTAAAAAAGCTACTTACAATATTACTTGGGATTTTATGTTTTATTTTGTTTTTATTTTATTTTTTTTTATTTTAATGTATCTGCAATCCTAAAATGCTATGAGAAGAGAGGGAAACAGGTCCACGACGTAGGGGGTAGTGAAGGAAGTAGTAAAGGTGAGCAGTGTTGAGTGTGGGAATGGATTAATGCACTGTATCTGCAATGCTAAAATGCTATGGGAAGAGACTGTAGACTGTAGGTAAAAATAATTATGAAACACGAATCGATACATATTTCGATACATGCAATCATTTACAATAGAAATTTACAACTGAGTTGACAACAGCTGGTTTTAACTCCATCGAGGATTAAAACGATTTTTACTCTCAAAGAGTAAAAATACTACTTTAGACCCGCAACGCATGCATTAAAAACGACTGTTTTTACAGCAGTATTACAAAAACAATATAATATGAACCCTTGATGACTCCGCTCAATTTTGTGGATGCCTCTGTGAACGCCACCTAGTACTAATTTTAGTACTAGGTGGCGTTTGTTAAACTTATTAACAAATTGGAATTGGAATTATTGGTGGAAATTGTTAAACTTTTTAAAGCTTAACAATTTCACTGTTCATTAGTCTCAAGTAAACAATAAATGAAAAAATGTTCAAGTCAACTTGCTTCACAATAAGTTAGTATAACCATTAAATAAGTTATTACTTGACAAAATAGCTCAGCCCGTGTCGAACTATCGAGAGTCGAACTATCGAAGGGTTAGTAACTTAAACATGAAATAAAACTTTAAATGTTTTTGTTGCAAACTTCGAAGTTTTCTTACGAATTGTAATGTTCTGATTGTTTGAAACCAAAATGTCATAAAATCAAAAGACATGTTTCAAGTAGGTGCCATAGTTTACAATATAACTTAATATTGAATTTAACCTTGATTTAGTTTGATAAGGTTATATTATATAGCTTACTTAATATAGCCATTTTAGAAAAAACACTGTTTTGCAGGAAAGCGTCAGTATGTTGGCCTAACACAATTTAAGTTATGATCACTGTTGTGGTTCAACTGAAAAATATCATCCTAATAAGGTAGTCTGTGACTAACTAAGTTAGTGCTGCTATCTAACTTAGTAACATATTGAACAACCTGCTGTAGCGCTATCTGTTTGCATTCATTGGTGTCAGCTGAAATACCGGTTTTTGACTCCTCAGTCTCCAAGCATAGATTACTTATCCAAGAAGGCTAGGGCATGTGTCACTTGGCCAGTTGCATTCGTTTGCTCGGGTTCGATTCCCGTCCTGGGTGGCATATAATTGGTGACCTGTACGTGTTTGTAGCGATATACTACAACCACTGAGGCATAGTGAGGTGTTCATAATCCTTGGTTTATACATAACTTAAGCTACACCTCAAATCATTGGATTGGGTGAATCTTTTAGCTAAGTGGTTTTTAGTGTATCCTATGAACATGCAGGTCACCAAAGGCCGTTTTGCTACTTTTTGTTAAAATAACCTTCCTCTCTATATCCCTTAGAGATTTTAGTAAATAACGATATATCGTTACATATCACTCAAAGGGCTTATAGCCTAATAAAAAAATCATATTTTTTTACACAAAACATAATTTAAGCTTAAGTTAGCCGTCAATTAAGTTAGGGCGTTGTAAAATAGGCCTAGTAGGCTAAGTTAGATTATCTCCTACTATTTTACATACATAAGTTAGTGCCTCACTTAGTCTGTATGCCTAACTTAGACTATACCTACACCTATAATTTCAGGGATTTAAATTTTGCAAAGCATAGGCTAAACCTAGTCTACTAAGCAACTTACTATTAAGTACCGTACTTTTACAAAGATGACTGATTACATAGAGATTTTAGTAAATAACGATATATCGTTACATATCACTCAAAGGGCTTATAGCCTAATAAAAAAATCATATTTTTTTACACAAAACATAATTTAAGCTTAAGTTAGCCGTCAATTAAGTTAGGGCGTTGTAAAATAGGCCTAGTAGGCTAAGTTAGATTATCTCCTACTATTTTACATACATAAGTTAGTGCCTCACTTAGTCTGTATGCCTAACTTAGACTATACCTACACCTATAATTTCAGGGATTTAAATTTTGCAAAGCATAGGCTAAACCTAGTCTACTAAGCAACTTACTATTAAGTACCGTACTTTTACAAAGATGACTTAAACTTAACTTAAAATAAAAAAATCAAACCTTTTAATAATAGCATAGATAAAACATAGCCCACTTACTTAGTAGATTTGTCATCCTTATGGAACAGCTGAAGCCAATTTTATTGTTACTTCTGTACCTGTAGAGGTTATCCATGACAATAAAACTATTTACATAAACTATATACAGGAAAAGTCCTAAAATTGAGCCCTGCGGAATCCCTGAGGTTACCACTCAAGTTTCCGACCTATGTTCTCTCTCTCGTCGTACCATCATCAAAAGAAACTGTGGTGCATTGTTGGCGATTTTTAAAATAAGATTCCACCAGACTCACCAACCATCCTGGAACTTTATAGCCAATCAGTTTTGCCAATAAAATAGAATGGTCAACCCGATTAAAAGCCTTCGAAAGGTCAAGCAGAAGCGTTGCCACTTTACAGCCTTCATCAATTTTTTCAAGAGCAGTGTGAACAAAATCAACAGCAGCAGTGATAATGCTCCGACCCTTCCAAAAGCCATGCTAAAAATCTGACAAAATGTTGTGTTCATTAAAAAATTTTACTAGGCACCCAAGGACAAACTTCTCGATTTCTGATCCACGAACAAACACAAACTTTAATATTTAATATTAGCGTGATAAGTTAATTAACAAATAATATAAATAATAGGCCAATTAATAATAGGCGTAGGCCTATTTAATAAGAATCATTACTTAATCATAGTTTTAGGCCCTATTTCATTGTTATTTTAGAACCTTTTGAACCCATCAAAATTAAAAAATACCCGCGCCGCAGCAAACCTGCAGACTTAGCGAATATCACATTTTATTCCCTATTTAAATATAATTAGTTTAACGAGTACAGTAGAACCCCTGATATCCGGCCTTGGTTTTTCCGGTCCTCTGTTTATCCGGCCACTTCCAGGAAGCCAATATCAAAATGTTTTTCTCAAAGCTTACAGACGTTTAAATGCAAGCACTAGTCTTTGCGACTTGTTTGAGCTAAACTATTTATCTGAACTATTTATCTGTTTGTTTCAATACATTTTACTGTGTCACTAAACTCAGTTGAACTAGACCTAACCTCTAAAAAGTTGGGGGAAATTAATCTTTGTATTTATTTCACAAAAAGGATAAGAAAGTTGAGTAGAATTGTATTTACTATTAAGGTCCTAAAAATCTTCAAGGCTGATTTAATGTAACTTTTACCTCCATCGTTTAATAGTTTTTGTTACCTGAAATCTTAATTTCAGGTTTTTTTAACAACTAACTTTAGCCTACAAATAATTTTTTTTTGTACAAACATGTTAATTCTTCAAAAAATAATCCTAGAATAGACTAAATGATACTTTTGACAGCATGTTTTGATTAAATATTATTATAGGTACCGGTATGAATCATTTTCATTTTTGTAGTAGGTTGGTTTATCCGGCCAAATCGCTATCCGGCCAGGGGCTTGGTCCCGTGGTGGCCGGATATGAGGGGTTCTACTGTACTTTGGTTTGCTGCAAATGTGGGGGGGGGGGGGGGGCTAAAAAGTGTTTTGTTCAAAATTTGTTCATAAACAAGCAAACTACAGTGGACTTATTCTCCATAAGAATAACATGGGAATTTTAAATTTACAATTTTTTGGAATTTTCTTCGCAACCATTAGGCGCATAATAACGCCTCAATATACTAAATAATATTTTTCTTTAAGTTTTACAAAATGGTTTGTAAAGAAATTGTGAAATTTTGTGTTTTTAGGGTCAAAAATGGGAAAACCCTATTTTTACCCCATAAAAACGGCCCCAAAAACCCCTGTTCCCATAGTCCGATCATGCTGATTTGCGAACTCGTTTGAATGTATGTAGGTTTACATGTTTGTACTAAATTTAATCAAAATCGGATCATTTTTGCTCGAGTTATCGTGCTAACGGACACATATAGCCTATATATAAATATATATGAATATGAACGGATGGTGTTTTTGGCCTCTAGGGACGTCAAAACGATAAAGTAAATCGGTCCCGTTTCCAGGTCTTACCATGAGTACCGTACTACGGTAATAGCTTATTCCCTATATGGGAAATTCGCTAAAAAAAAAAAAAAAAAAAAAACAAGTGATTGTGTGTCCAGTTAAGATAAATGCATACTTTTACGATATGAGAATTGTTTTAGTAACTTAAATCATTCTTATCTGTTCCAAATAGCCTACCATTATCTTTGGTGATACAAATTTATAAGCAGTTTATTTTATAACCTACTGATAAAAACACATATACACAGATTACCTAAGCCTAATGCCAAAAGTAGGGTCAAAACTTGACTATTGATACAACTAGACACTCCTTGCCCATGTTAAAGTTGTTGCCAGGTTTTTTTTATCAAAATCGTCATAGGTAGTTGATTTAAGATACCGACAGATTGTGCTTATATCTAAATTATTAATTTATATTGAACATTATTGAACTTTTTTACTTACCAGTACTTACTTAGTTACTTACTGGTCCATATAGATGGGATGTCTACTTCAGTGTCCAATATAATGCTTTAGTCTATATCATACCTACATCGTACTAGTTGTGCAAATGTATGCAATTATAGTTCTATTTATATAAATATAAAAATATAAAATATATTCTATTATAATTTGTTTAGTCTACCTATTGGGCATTTAAACTATAAAATGATAAATAACTTGGAAAAGTTGAAATAAAAGGTTTCTAGTTCATAAATCGTTTCCAAACGTGGACTTTCATATGTATTGTATTCTATAATTTAACTGAAAATGAGAATTTCCTTATGCTAGATGCCTGAAAGTTCTACTCTGCTCTTGAGAAAATGTCATGCTCTAACTTTGAATGACGGCTGATACATGCTAGCAGTGACAGTCATACATGATGAATGACTTACAGGTAAATGTGCTAGGAATAAGTAGGCCTATGGTCTACAAGTGACTGTCCCAAAGTGCATATTATAATGATTTTTAAAATGTAAACCACACTCATAGGCACCAATAAACTTAGTAGCTCAGACTGTGTAATTCAATTTTTGACATTTTGAGGATTCAAATTTTTTAAATTCAGCTCAATCAGCGATATGTTGATTATTTTTACTTATGAACTGGTCGTAAACCATAGGATTTTACATGCAATCTATGTAGCTCTCAAAGAATCCACATATTCCACTTGACCTATGGTACCGATTGAGTGAACTCCTCATAAAGTGCAAACAGAGACGAGATTTAAACTCTCAATCTACGCTGGTGAGACAACCACAGACCTCTTGACCATCGTCCGAACCTAACAGTCAACCGCACCAACAACACTAGTCAACCCAAAGGCCAAGGGTAGCCTAAAATATCTAAATTTGACTTCTAGGTTTAGCATATGCCATATATAGCATTCAGCAATTTACTTGTGCTTAGTTACAGTCTAACCCCGCTCATCCGTCACCTAAGGGACCGTAACCGTCTGGAATAGTGAAAAGGTTGGATCATCCGAGGAACCATCCACGATTTTTCCGCGAACACAGAAGCCGATGTCGTGTTAAGGAGACATCCAGTATTTTTCCAAAATCGCGGTAGTTGATGACGATGTTTTTGTTACTGCAGGGGATATTCAGGAGTTTGAGGCAATTATAAATAACAACGATAAAGTTTCCTTAATCGCGGAAGACTATGATGTCCTTGTGAGCTCGGTAGATGTTAAATATTTTTCCACCACGATGATTTTTCCATGACTGTGGGATTTGTATTGGATTGTCTGCGATCGTAGTAGATGATAATGTTTTTTATGTTACCGCAGGATATGCTGTAGATTTGGCCGGGATCAAGGAAGATTACAATAACGTTTCCGTGATCGCGGAAGACAATTATGCTGTTTCCGTTACTGCTGAAGGTGTTGTCGCTATCTTAGAAAACGATGATGTTTCTGTGCCTGTGGGGTAAACGAGATTTTTACCGCTATTGCAGGAGATGGTGATTATGTTCTAGCCCATGGGAAATGGTCATGATACTACCAGCGATAACATCATAACCGATAGGCGATGGCACAGTTCTAAGTCGGACTAGCCAAGGTTGGATTAGTGGAGTTACTCTACTTGTTGGAAAATTATATTAGTGTTGTGATAGTAGGCCTAATATATTCTTTGGTCTAACCTTAATTTATTGTTGCAGAAAAAAATCACTATGGTGGTGGATTCGGGTCAGAGGCATTTAAATCTGAAACAACCAACAGCCATGACACCCAAAGAACTCTCTGATAATGACGACGTTGCAACTGCTCTGATACTTGATCCATTCTTAGGGTTCACCACCCACAAAATGAATATAAGGTAAACACTTAATAGTGTACAAAATGTTTTAGGCCTTAAATACATCATTGTACTGATTTTGATTTATTAACCACCCTATTAAATTTTACTGGGTTTATACTAGGGATGGACGAGATTGGATTTTTAGTTCGAGACGAGATTTTTTATTTCTCATAAAATTTCGAGACGAGATTTCTCTTCTCATACACATTGGGAAATGCACGTTCGAAATTTTTACCTGATTTTGTAACATTGTTAGATGACTGTTTAAATACTAAAATAATGATAATAGGCAAGAATATTTACAATCTTTCATTAAATAACATCAGCATAACATTTTTTTATTAATCACGCCTAACTTATTAAAAATGCCTACAATTAGGAAACATGGTGATATCAGTTAGGATAGAGTTCAACTTACCCTAAAATAAAATAAATCATAAAATAAAAGCAATATCAAAAATAGTTACTTGTTTTGACTTTTTTTATAGTAATAAAACATTCCTCACACTGCTTACACTTAACAAAACTTCTCAAATGTTATTAAAGTAATATTATTAAAATAATGAAAGTAATATTTACATTAAAAGAATTAATTAAATAAGAACGCCTTCGAAAAGGAAACGCAACTACAACACGCTCCTGTATTGCGGGTATTGCATTGACTTTCTGCAGGCGTTTTTAATTTTTTTTTTTATTTTTTTTTTTATTCATGTCTCGATAAAAATCTCGGCCAAAAAGTAATCTCGTCTCGTGTAACGAGATTGAAAATTTCCCGAAATTTCGAGGCTTGACCATCCCTAGTTTATACAAATTCCCTGGAAAATCTTTGTGTAGGCTTATTTGTTCCAATGTTGATAATATAAAAAATGCATGATAATGGATGTAAAATGCCTGTGCTTTTGGTAAAATGGTAAAATGGTGTTTATTTACAATTTTCTTTCTTTAAAACTAGTGATTTTAAGAAAAATATAAAGGATACATTTGTTTGAGGAAATTTTATATGGTTAATCAAACAATGCTTACCGGTACATTGTATTTTTGGATTAGACATAAAATTATTTGCAATCCTATAACAGAAACTGCTTTATCCTTACCTCAATTTGGTCAATTACTGTCTATACCCTCTAATTATTTGTTGTCATAGATACCGTCCATTAAAAGCCAACAAAGAGGAGTTGAAGAGCATCTTGGAACAGTTTATCAAGGAGCAAAACTATGAAAAGTCGTACAAACGACTATTGGAAGGGGAGTGGCTTCCTCGATCTCTGCACCACACGCTGCGCAACAAGCTGCAATCTCAACGTCTTGAGGAACATGTGAGTTATACTCGTACATGATGTTCAGAACTGTTATTGAAGATTCTATTTTTTCCACACCTTGTGCTTCATCCATTTTTGAGAAAAGGCTGTTTTCTTATAATCTAAAGATACACTTAGGATTTATTCCATGTGCTACAGAATTAGATCCTGTGTTACTGCAGTAACATATAAGGTTCAAAAGCTTCAAGTTGTGTTTTCCCTCACAGATGAAGTAGTCATGCTGTATTCGACTAACAGGTTTAGTATAATGTTGTAGCATAAAAAATTGTGATTTCAGTTATTTTGTTTCTTACAAATTTTAAGTTTTTAGAAGAAAATTTGAACCAGCATTATCTGTAGGCCTACTGTAGAACAAATAACAAATTGGCGCCCTAAAACGTTTCAAATCCAAATAACTATGAGGGTGGCAACAAAATTAACTTGCACCCTCTTTAGCTTTTTAACTATTTGAGATATTTGAAATTGGTTTGCGGCAACTTGTTTGGAGATGAAGGGCTACAAATAAAATCAAATCAAACATATTTATTTCCATTCGGTACAATAAAGTACAATAGGATAGGTCAGATTGCATTTTACAAATTGTCATGAAGCAAATTAAAGTAGATGTGAATATAAAATTAAACTTAAATTATATAATATATAGAACAAAACAACTAAACAAACAATTTCTCCTTCAAGCTGGCCTGGAACATCAATAACAGATAAAATATAAAATAATTTCTGATAACTAAATAAATAACATATCTTAATAAATAAACGGTATCAGCATTCTGACACATACTTTCTCCCATAAGTTTGTCAACTACCTTTATCATGTGTAAGCGGTGAGAGTAAATATACGGAAATGGAATTTGTACAATTTTGTTCAGAATTTAAAGGACTATAACATACTACATTTTTATCAAACTCGTTTAAACTTTTAAATTTTTATCAAAATTGTTCGGGCCATTTTTGGAAAAATCAGATTTTTCCGTTATTTTATGGGGTTTTTATGGGAAAATAACATAATTTAAAATAACTTTTAAACCGTAATTTTTACAGAAATGGGATTTGCACAATTTTTTCAGAATATAAAGGACTATAACATACTAAATGTTTTATCAAAATCGTTCGGGCCGTTTTTGGGAAAATTCTATTTTTCCGTTATTTTATGGGAAAATCCCCATTAAAAATCCAAATTTCTAAAAAATTGAAAAAAACTATCAAAATTGTAAGGACCATAACATACTATGTTGAATAAAAACAGGATTTTTTTTCTAAAATCCTATTTTTCGTTATTTTATGGAGTTTTTATGGGAAAATAACATAATTTACCATAACTTTTGAACCGTAATTTTTAGAGAAATGGGGTTTTCACCAGTTTGTTCAGAATTTAAAGGGCTACAACATACTAAATTTATATCAAAATCGTTCGGGCCATTTTTGAGAAAATTCGATTTTTCCGGTTTTTTATGGGTTTTTATGGGAAAATCCCCATTAAAAATCAAAATTTCAAAAAAATGAAAAAAACGCCTGGAGATATTATGGATTAGAACCTACATACCAAATTTCATCGAAATCGGACCACAGGTGTAGTCTCTAGGTCTGTACACATCCAGACACACAGACACACACACACACACACACACACACACACACACACACAGACATCACTTCGAAAACCACTTTTTTGGGTCCAGGGGGACCCAAAACGAATATATCCACTCAAAACTCAAACTCGAAAATTTTGACGAAAACAATACTTTCTCCATATACTATGGTATAGGGGGAGAAAGTAAAAAAGAGAGGATTAGTTTTCAATAATAGTTTTAATGTGAAGAATAATTCATAGAGACTATTAATTAATAGAGTGTGGGGATTTATATTTAAGTGTTTAGAACGATCTAGAAAGCAATTTGGCAAGAAAAAACTCATTAAGTGAATAAAGTGGGTTTATTAATAAACAGTTATAAAACTTTCTCTTGAATTGTTTGACATCATATTTTGAGATAAGGCCAATGAGTTTATTGTAAACCTTTGGAGCTACAACAACATGGCTGTTTATAGATTTTGAGAGCCTGTGGTAGTCAATGGAAGTATGATTTTTATTTCTAGTATTATATCTGTGTTCATGGGATTTTAGTATTTGTGTGTTATTTATTACATATACAGTTAAATCAAAGATATACAGATTAATAATAGTAGAAATTTTCATTGAAACAAAAAGAGGTTTACAATGTTCATCAAGTTCAGATTCAGCGATAACCCAAACGGCTCTTTTTTGGAGAATTAAGATTTCATCCACTCTACTGCAGTTACCCCATAGAATTAATCCATATCTAATTATTGATTGAAAGTAGGCAAAATAGGCAGTTCTAACAGAATTTGTTTCCAAGCAATGAACCAGGCGTCTTAGGAGAAATATTGTTCTTGATAGTTTTGGTGTTATATAATCAATGTGAGATCCCCAGGTAAGAGTACTGTCTATTTTTATACCCAAAAATTTAACCGAATTGACTGCGATATTGATATCAGTCCCGCTATTAGGGAGGGGTCTTAGGCTGAAAACAACATTCTGAGGCGGTTCACGAGTACGGGGTTCTGTGGCCCGCGGTTATCGTTGTTCTCGGCCAATTTTAACCGACGGCCAAAAAATGGGTTCACGACATAGAGCGTTAGCCGAGATCAAGCTTAGCCGAGACCAACGCTGACCGTCGCTCAACAGCAGGGATTTAACGGGGAACTTTCGTTATAAGGTTGGCAACAGCCACGTGGGCTACCTACCGAGCCGCTGCTCGCGGTCGACGAGTCCCAAAACAATAGGATGACGTGATAAATTATTATAATTACAGTATACAGAGTGTTTGTGTTTACTGATGTTGCATAAAAAGGTTGTGAACTTGCACTTAAATTCATTTTATACTAAAGTTTTAAGTTACTGGATTAATCATTGAATTATGAAATGAATAAGAATAATAGGCTACACTTTTACTGACATGTATCGGGAAAATACAATTATGTTTTTAATAACATTTTTGTTAAAACAAATCTTGGTAGGCCTAATGTTTGCAAACTAAATTTAGATCATCATTAATGTTCAAATATAAGACATACTTATCAGGTTTGCAGTTTTATCCAAACATTCAAAATATTTCATAAAATAACTGTTCTTTTCAAATATTTATGATTATCTTTTATGTATTATTAATTTGTGAAAAAAAATTTGGAGGAACAACTGGATATTATAGGAGTCGGGATGCCCTCATATGTAACAAATAATAATATAAAACGTAAATGTTTTTGTTTGAAAGTTATTGCAATATATGTGACGTAGATATATTTATTTTATTGAGAAACAAATAAATATTGAACATTAGTAATAGGCTAAGTGATATTATAATATTTCATTACAGTACAACTGTGTAGAGGAGTGGAATTTCTAAATCAGATGGCAGTAAACACCTTAGTTAGTATTTCGCGCTCTTTTCAATACCTCAGCATGTAGCTACAAATAAATAAAAGGTTAAAATACCTGATTGTTGCCTTGTGGTCCAAAGTATTGTCCTATACGGATCCAAAATTTTTATTTTGCAATTAGGCCTATTCGGCTGAAATAAAAGTGTTGAAAAGTGGTTTAAAAAAATAAAACAGTAACGTTATAAAACTCATTTTCAATTTAAATTTATATAAATAAGTCTATGTTAAGCTATTAATTATATTTTTATTTAGTAATTGATTAAAATTAAAAACAGCAACTTTTTACAATGTTTCGTATGTTTTCGACAATCAGTAGTAAAAAAATTGAAAAAATAAATATCATGTTGAGGGTAATGAAATTGTTCGGAATTTAATGGCGAATCCGAATATAACATTTTTTTTGCTAACAAAAAAACAATAAACGAGCAAATGAGATAATCCCGACATGATGTCACCTTAACCCTGCCCCCTAGCAGGGTTAAGTTGAAGTCCAAAACCATTGTTATTTACGCCCGAGATTATCCAGTTTGCGCTAGACCATGACTCGTGAACCCGACATTTGGCCCGGGGTTTTCTCTAATTGAACCCGTGAAGCCGACTTTTTGCGCTCGGGTTTATCCCTGTCATAATTGGATGAAGTTTATCTGTCTGCGCCCGAGCGCGGGTAACCTAGTACTCGTGAAGCCGATTTCTAAGCCACGGCGCAAAAAACTGGCTATAACTGGATTTTGCGCTCGAACTAAGGATAACCCGTGACTCGTGAACCGCACTGTGTTTTACTTTCATTTAAGAGAAACCCATTTGCTTTGAACCAGTCCAATGATGTGGTGAGGGTATTTTTTGATAATAAATTTAGCTGTTCAAAATCATTATTACTGTGGAAAAAGGTTGTATCATCTGCATAAAGAATAGTTGAGGAATTAACTGAATTTGGGAGATCATTAATGCAAATTAAAAACAAAAGTGGACCCAGGACCGAACCCTGGGGCACACCCACATTTATTGATATTTCTTGAGACCAGAGACCATCAGTGTAAACCCTTTGTCTTCAATTGGATAAGTAAGATTTTATGAGCTTTAGAGCAGAGCCTGTAATTACATAGTAATTTAATTTTTTTATTAGGTCATTTGGATCAACACAATCAAATGCCTTGCTAAGATCACAGAAGGTGGCCTGGGCATATGACTTGGTCTCAAAGGAAGAAATAATTTCACGAACTAGTTTGTCTACAGCTTGGACTGTTTATTTGTCCCTTCGAAACCCGAATTGACAATGATTAAAAATTTTATAGTCTTCAAAAAAGGAATAGATTTGATCATGAACTATATTTTCATATATTTTTGAAATTACTGGAATTATTGAAATTGGGCGGTAGCTTAAAGGTTCGTTCCTTGGGCCCTTCTTATGAACTGGGCATATCCTGGATATTTTTAACTGATCTGGAAAGACTCCCTCAATCAATGAAAAACTTATGCAATATGCCAAGGGTACTGAAATACTAGGAATAATACTTTTTAGGCAATTGTTACTCATATTATATACATCACAGCTGTCTGAATTACTAAGTCTTTTGGCAACCCGTATAATATCTTCAGGATTTACAAGTTTCCATTGGAAAAGATCTGGGGTTATAACTGTATTTCTTAAAAAATCACTGGAAGTAAATTTAGTGTTACCGATTTGTTTTTTTATATTTGCTACACTTTCTACAAAAAAAGGTATTAAAGACATCTGGTGCAATGTGATGGTTGTTTGCTTTATGTAAACCACAAGTATGATATTTAATTATGTTCCAGGCCGCTTTACATTTATTTTTACTTTCTTCAATATATTTGGCATTGTACACCTTTTTAGCCTTATACAAAGATTGCCTGTACTTTTTTTTATAATCATTTAAATAATTCATAAGATTTAAAACTGGCTGACTGGAAGTTTTCAGCAGGCTCTTCAGAAACACAATTCTTTCCTTCATAACTTTTAAGTCCTTTGGTGAACCAATCAGATTTTTTGTTTACTTTACTTTTATGAAGTTTATTTTTTTTACAGGAAATTGCAATAGGTTGTTAATTATTGTGTTAAAAAGCATATCAAAGGCTTCTTGTGAATCTGTGAAGCAGTTACCAAAGAACTGTTTTTCCCAATTATAAGACAAAAGGCTTAAGTTAATTTTTTTCAAAAGCAGACTTAGGAACCACAAAATCTATACATTTACCTCGTTCATCATTGATTGGGTTGTCTCTAATTTTTTGAGATGGGGGTTTATTTTTCCTAAACTCCATTCCTACCAAAATACCATCATGGTCAGAAAAGGGAAACGTAAATATCCTGCAAAACTTAACCTGGCCTTGTGGGCAATTAGCAAAAAAATTATCCAAACAATTTTTTCCTCTGGTTGGGCTGAAATTATAACAATAAAAATTATATTGCTTTAAAAGGTTAAGAAAACATTTTGATGTTTTAACGAATTTCCCTATAGGGAAGTAGCTATTACCGTAGGTCTCATGGTAAGACCATCGATGTATAATAACTCTACTGGATAGCGCGCTAGGTGGTGGAAAAACGGTCCGTTCCCACCAGTCGAATTGGTGGGATACTGAGGCGGACGGGCCGAATGGACCTCTCTGTTTTACACAAACATACATTCACTCAACCTGCTCTGCTACACTTATTTGTTAACATAAAAATTTCAAATTGATATATTATTTTTCTGGAAAAACCAGTGCTCAATACTATGTAGTTAGTTTTTACACTAACATATTTTTTATAATTTATTTAGGCAAATTAAAACAGATGATTGTTTTTTAACACCATTAAAAACATGAAATATGTAGTAAGCGAGGAACTTTTTTATTTTTTGGTCAGGAAAAAAATTCCTGCGGCAAAGTTTTAGATCAAAGTATTAATTTTATTTTTTATTTGAAGCTTTTTTTGATACGGAGCCTGCTTGTATCATTTTTAAGCGATTAAAAATAGGCATAAAATCGCTTGGCGCAGCATTGGCGCTAGGAGCTCGGCCGGCTCAGCATCAGTTTACGGGATATAGAAACTGAGTTTCTAGCATTTCATTATCATTATATTACATCAAATATATGTCATTACATTACGAAGAATGGTAACTTAATTTACAGGCTTATTTTTATGCATTTTAATGCTTACCGGTAAGTCTATAGTTAGCAAAATTCTTTGAATCAAAGAATAAATGTTGGATTTCACAGTAGTATTTAATACCTAAGAAAATATTTTGTTATTATTTTACTTCAGTGAGAATAATGAATACATTTGAGATATTGGCATTAAATATCATACATTCATTTTATTTAGCAACATAATATTATTATTTCCAAACACGTTAATCACAGTATGACAAAGAAACATACTGTATTATAATATAAACAAAATATATATTCTTAAATGATGCACAGTCTCTCAATAATAATTGGGCTTCACCGAAGCAAATGATGACATGCATATGTGATCAAATAATTATTGTGATATACTTTGCTCTGGTTAATGTTCAAATATAAATAAATCTAACTCTTTTATATCACCACTACATTTCTTATGATATTTACTTTTGACACATAGTCTATAAAGTGTGAGCAAGTACGTAGATTAATTATATCTGCTTATAAAACCTCCTTAAGTTCATTACAATCAATTATCCTCGGAATATTTCCACAAAACTAACATAGCAATACACGGCGAGAGCGGGCGCGACGCTCGCCACTAGGGTGACTCATGCCTTTATCCCCACTCCTCGCGGACAGAGCGAGTCAGCGACGGACCGTTTTTCGAGCCCTACTTCAACCTGAGCGCGCAATCCAGGGAGTTATTATACATCGATGGGTAAGACTTAGGCCCGGGACCGATTTACTTTTTCATTTTAATGTCCCCAGAGGCCAAAAACACCATTCGTTCAAATTTTTATATATATATATAGATATATATATATATGTGTCCGTGAACACGATAACTTGAGTAATTTTTATCCGATTTTGATGAAATTTGGTTTGAAGGTGTAAGACGGGATAAACTTGAATGAGTTCGCGATCCAGCATGATCGGACCATGGGAACAGGGTTTTATGGGGGGTTTTATGGGGTAAAAATTGGTTTTTCTCACTTTTTACCCTCAAAACACAAAATTTCCCAATTTTTCTCTAAACCTTCTTAAAGAGCTTAAAAAAACAAACAATTCAGTATATCAAAGTGTTTTTGTACGGTTATTGGTTACGGAGAAAACTAAAAAAATGGTAAATTTAAAATTCCCATGTTATTCTTATGGAGAATATTGTAAAATGTTGTAGTTTGCTTGTTTATGGATATATTTTGATCAAACTTGGCAAATTTATTTATTTTATAGTAAGCTATCAATATTTTACTAAAACCACACTACTTTATTAGTTTCCTTGTAGCAGCAAACCTAGGTACTCGTTAAACCTAATGTTATTTAAATAGATCAATTGAAAATCAATTCGGCCAAATGGAAATTCGCTTAGACGGCAGGTTTGCTGCGGCGGGGGTATTTTGTCTTTAAGCACATCAAAATTTTCATTGAAATCACCTGTTACAACAGTCACATAGGTTTTCCACTGAGAGATTGAAAACGAAAACTTATCTAATATGTCAAGAAAAATTTTAGGGTTGCCAGCAGTTGAGTGATACAATGCAACAACAATTAATGTTATGTTCAGTTTTGAAAATTTTGCCCTTAGGGGTAGCGGGGGTAGGGGGTAGCTCAAAATTTTCAAATAGCAAGTATAGTCGAGTTTGGTATCATTTTACAGGTCGTGACGAAACATAACAAATAACATAAAGAAAATAGAATTGGACCAATAATAACAAAATGGCAGCTAAAAATGATTGAGGCAATGGTTATTTAAAGTAACCTCCGCTACCCCTAGAAGGGCAAAATTTTCAAAACTCACCATAATTCTTGTAGCCCTTTGTATCCAAACAAGTTGCCGCAAACCGATTTCAATTATCTCAAATAGTTAGAAAAGTTAAAGAGGGTGCAAGTTAATTTTTTTGCCACCCTCATAGTTATTTGGATTTAAAACGTTTTAGGGCGCCATTTTGTTATTAATGAGCCAATGTTGGTTTTCTTTATGTCAATTTGTTTCGTCAAGACCTGTAAAATGATACCAAACTCGACTATACTTGTCATTTGAAAAGTTTGAGATACCCCCTACCCCCGCTACCCCTAAAGGCAAAATTTTCAAAACCGACCATAATTATTGTAGCCCCTCATATCTAAGAAGGTTGCCGCAAACCGATTTCAAATATCTCAAATGGTTGAAAAGTTAAGGGGGGGTGCAAGTTACTTTTCAGCCACCCTGTATATTAATAGGCAAGCATGTTTCTTTAAAACCTTTTTTCTCACCTCGTGTGCATCACAAGGAAAATCTACTCATACTGTTAGGAAGGTATTTTCCTGTAGATGTGCAGAATCCCTTCATAAATTAAAATAGGCTCAAAAATAAGCACAAAAAACGAATTTGAAATTTGAAAAAAAAATAACATGGGTCTTATGAGTTGCCATGCTGGTGACGAAATAACAACAAAATATAAACAGAAAATCAAAAGAAATGAAATAAATTCCAATCATCACATGTTTTATTTACAGGTGAAAATGGAGAAGTCTGTACATTACATATTTTTGGTCGAGTTTCGACCTCTGGACGACCTCTAGTATAAATGGAATTAAAGGATCTTAACAGCTATTTCAACTTAACAATTTTATTCTGTGATGATAAATAGCATTAAAAGGTTACAAGATGTACCAACGCAGCACTATTAATTGTCTAAATTTATGACAACAGTTGCTAATTTCAACCAAGCAGCCGTGATACAACGTAACCAATCAATAGTTATCAATACTTATGAAGTCAAACGGGGTGAAGCCCATGGGTAACAGCTAGTTTGGTATAAATGGAGAACTAAGAAAAAGGCAAAAGCCTACAACTATTTGAATTTGTTTTATTTTTTTCAGATCTACAGATACCTAAGAGTATTTGACAAGGATTCTGGCTTTACCATAGAGCCATGTTATAGGTACTCTCTAGAAGGCCAGAAAGGTGCAAAAATATCTGCTACCAAGAAGTGGTAAGTTTGGTATCTCAATGTTAATTTTTACATTTTTGATATCCGCCCAGTTGTACTGTTGTACTATCTCTAAACTCTGTTGCTTTCTCTTTAAAAGCTGTTTGATAAAGCAAACAATTCCCTGAAGCCTATTTATGTAGAAGTTATAAACACACACACTCGTACATATGAACCAATCACCAAATACGGGGAGGATTCAGCCAGGCAAATTTGAACCTAAATGTTAGTGAAGGATGAGTGTTAGATCGCCTCTAGTTACCGGCATTAATTTCATCACCGAAAACCATGTGTTCTTTTAGCCAGGACAAGTCCAGGATGATCATCTATTAAAAATCCAATGAGAGCCAAGTCCATGTTTTTAACCATTCAAAAAGCTACGGTACTAGCTTTTCTCAGGATGGAACCTGTGATATGATTACTGTGAAAAACATTTATTTGATTGAATACTCCTGTGATTTACTATCCTTGATTTTATATCTGATCAGCTGTCCTGGTTTTTATATGTTTTAACTTGTTTTAGTTGTTGTTATTGTTTTCTAAAAATTTAGATTTTTATTAAAATAATGTCTTAGTTTTGAAAAGGTTTTACAATCATAATTTTAACAACTCTGAATAAATATGTAGTCAGATGAATTGTTTTGATTGCATTTGTGTTTTACCATAGTAATTCAAAGCTCTCTTTGACTTAAAACACTTATTGTTCGTCTTAGGTATAAAAATGAAAAGATAAACTGTCTGGTCGGGTGTATTGCTGAGTTGACGCTAGAGGAGGAGAACCAGTTGTTACACACAGGCAAGAATGACTTCTCCGTCATGTTCAGCTGCCGCAAGAACTGTGCACAGCTGTGGCTCGGACCTGCGGCTTTCATCAACCACGACTGTAGGGCCAATTGTAAGGTAAGCTCAGACCAATGTGGGAGTCTCAATTGAATTGTAATTAATTATTCAGCAAATATAAACCTAAATCTCAAGTGAGTTTTGTCAAGCTAGCATATATAATACCCAGTCGAGATCATCCAGTCACATTTGCATATTGACAATATTTAGCCAGATAGACTGAGCTCAGCTAAGCAAGGAAAGATGTGCCACAATGGCAATATTTTGTGTTTCAGTGTTTATTGATGTACTTGTACAAGTATCAATCAGACAGCAACAGTATTCGGGTTCCAAACGCAGGCTTAAAGCTGGACAAAACTGGCTGTCGTTCTATACTGGGAACGTACATAGACATTCACCAAATTTCTCTAATTTTAAACACATATTCCTATTGCAAATTTACAACTGTCGAAGAAGGCTATATGAAGGTGTTCACCTTGTGTTGTGTCGCGTGTTGCAGTTTGTGGCCACTGGTCGAGACACCGCTTGTGTCAAGGTGTTGAGGGACATTGAGGCAGGAGAGGAAATAACATGTTTCTACGGAGAAGACTTCTTTGGCGACAACAATTGCTACTGCGAATGCGAAACTTGTGAAAGGTAGGCGTTGTGTATTAATATACCAAATATGATTAGTATGTACAAGGATAGGGATCAGCTAGCTTACGGTAGATAGAGTCCAGATTAGCCTTGATTACACATAAAACACATGACACAACACAGAAAAACTTAATATTTTGTCCCAGTTAGGGACTTCATCAGAAGGGAGAAGAAAGAAAACTCTTGGATGCTCTGAGCAAAAACTTACAAAATAAGAAGTTTACCTAAGACACTTCTAATTACACCAAAACATTGAATGGATTGAACAAAACAGATTGTTAAACTTAGTGTCACTTTTATACCATATGTCAACGTAGAATTACTAGGTTATTGTAAACTAGTGATGGTCAAAACCAGAAATTTCAAAACTCAAAACCAAAACTTAAATCAAGTCCGTAATCTCAAAATCCTGACCCTGACATAATAAAATGAATATGTTGTGTGACAAAGTATATTTAAAACATCAAAGAAAATTATTAAAATAAACAACAAACATTAACATTAATTAATCTTCTGACACTAACATAAACAAGAATGAAGAATATTAAATACATTTAAAAAAACATATTGGCCTAGTCATCACTATTTGTTTGTCTTAAAAATATATCAATATGAAACTACTGTATTGTACGTGATATGTTAGCTCCAACTCATGTGTGAACTGAGATATAAACAATGATATAACTAAAATACTCAATTTCAAAAGATTTGAATCTTGAAACTCGCCGATAGAATCCGAAACTTTTCTAAAGTCTTGATGGATTTGAGATTCGGTTTTGACACATCGCTATCACTATTGTAAACATGATTTATCTGTTACATCATAGCCTCCTCTAATACAAGGTTGCACCAAGACAGAAGTGGCAACACTGTTGTTCCAGCCAACCAAAACAGCTGTAGCATTGATTCATATGGAGCGTCTGTACAATGTTTATGTTAGGATTGTTATCTAAACTTTTAGCCAGAACAATTTCCAAATATTCCTGTAACTACTTTAATTAGAACAATAAATATAGCCTACTATTCACAAATTGTAAGAAGTACAATGGTAACATTAATTGTTCGTTAGTAAAAAAAATGTATGTTTGTAAGGCTATCAATTATTTTAATATAGATACATTGCGACACCAAAACACAAACGTGAGTATTTGATGGCAAAGATGAGCGTTAAGTGAATGATAATATTTGTGTAGACTGGAAATATTCCCAACTAGGCGAGGAATTTATAAAATGGAAATATTATAAGGATATTTTCTTTGTTGAGAAACTTGAAAAAAATTAAAAGTGTAAAATCCTAAATGATTCAACAATTTGTTTTTAGTTTGAGAAGATGGATCTGGTTTCCTGTGAATTTTATTAGACAAATTTGTTGTGCATTATGTAGCCTACAAAATTTAATTCTCTATCTAACCTTGAGAATTGCCAGATTTTAGAGCATGGTTGTAGTCGGTTTAAATCCATCTATCTGTATAATTATTTGTTATAGGTTCATACCTATAAAAGATATCTTGTATTTTTACCAAACGTGTGAACAATAATATCTATTTGATATAGTTTTTTGCTATTTATATTCAACTATATATGCTTATAAATAAATTAAAGATTCTCTACTAGACTAGTTTGGGGATCCATCCAAAACTTGAAAAATCTAATTCTAATTTTACCTTACCGAAAGTTTTAAAACTATTTTTCACCATTAAAATTACTAAAAAAGGAACAATTAAAAAAGATACAGTAGTATTGATACAAAAATGTTGTAAATAACATACTAAAATTTTTTTTGTTACAGGAGGAGTATGGGAGCTTACGCTAAGGAAAATATTGAAGAAGATACTGGAAAAACTGGCTACAAACTCAGGGAGACTGACAACCGGCTAAATAGGATGAAAAGTCGACAGAAAACTCCTAACAAAACTGAATCCTCATCCGCTGCATCAGAATGTGGAAGTGACAGCAACAGTCGATGTTCGTCATCTGTTGGAGAGGGGAAGGTGAACAGTGCAGTGACACCGCTGAGTATGCGTGAGCTGCGACAGAAGGGCCTGACCAAGTACGACGCAGAACTACTGATTGCACAAGGCACTAAATTTTCAGACATCACAGCTGATGATAGCAAGCTGCTGTCGAGTTTTGGAGCCCACAATGAACCCTTAATCAAAGAAGTGGATAGAGAAAGTAGGCTTCAAGCAAGAAATTTACGGAAGTCATTAAATCGGAAGAAAGACCCAGATGAAGGTGGAGGATTGGCTGTTCCGTGTCAAGGTACGCCTGCACCAGATGTAGCTAGTGAAAACACGTCCATCGGTATGTCACTGCGAAACCACAAGAGGCTGAGTGAACCTTCACTGGAACCTGTCAACATGTCTACGATAATGAAAGAGAAAACTAACAACAACAACAATGATTTGTGCGGTCTTAGCTCGATATCAGAGAAAACTAAAGTGATAGAGCCAGTCGATACTAAAGTGAAACGGACAGAAGTATCAGTGTCTAAAAAGGAAAACGATAAAGCAGTAGCTTTAGTTAGAGTGAGTAATAGGCGTAGGAAAAGCGTTTTAGGTAAAGGGAACTCGGTTTTAGATGGTGTTTATATGCCAGTAAGTAAATCAAAAAGGTCATTGGCCAACAGACGGTCCAGGTATAATAGTGCCAGTGAAACTGTGATCCTCAAAACTGAACCGTTATCTGACAGCGAACAGTTACCAATTAAAAGTGAACTCCACGATGAAGCTGAGTCCTTCGTTGAAGCTCGTGTGCCAACTGCGGACTCGATAAAACTCGAAAATGATCTCAGTAGAAAAGAATTTGTCGCTAAAAGGGAAGTTCATGAAAAAGATGTTTATGAATTTGACGATTTTGACTGTGAATCCACTGAGCCAATGATGGCACTGAGAAGAATGAAGTTGGAAGAAAAGAAAGAGATGGACGAGCCAGTTTCTAACAAAATGGAAGTGTCGGAGCCATCTACTCCGGAGAAACAGGGTCGAATAAAAGTGACTCTGAGATTGAAGAGAAGTCCGATAGTAGGGGATTCCTCAGAGTCAGGGACAAGCTGGAGTGAAGAACCAGAATATGAAGTGTTAAGAACAGAGTATGACCCGTTGTGTGTCGAGAGTACTGATCAAGAGGACTTTCACAGAAAAAAGAAGCATAAGAACAAGGACAAGAGGCGAAGGAAAGCTAAGGAACACCTGGCGCTAACAACTATTAAAAGGGTAAGGCTGATTCTAGGGGGTGAAACACAGACTATCAATGTCCCAGAGCGCACTATGCTATCTGCGGTCATGACATGAAAATGTTTTATCCTATAAGACTGTTATGGTAATTTTTAACATTCGGCTGTTACGCTAAATTGTTCTTAGCTGTTGTTTTCCTGTATTTGTGATATTTATTTGTTTTAGTATTCGAGGTTTGGTTGTTGTAAATAACTGAAAACATTTTGTAAGTATTAATTTTCATACGAAATTATGCTTTAAGACATAGTCGATTAGAAATAGGATAAGGGAATAAAAAAGTTACGCTTTTAAATTGTAGGATAGTTATAATATATTTTTCAGGCTAATGCCTAAACTTTTACAAATAAAAAAAACTTTTAAACTAGATTGTCATTTGTGTAAAAGGTGAGACTTTTTATGCAACATTAAAAATCCTTTTATTTTTATTTTGTATATTTTTGTATGTTTTTTAAAGTTGTTGTTTTAGTATAATGAGGTTTTCATTTTAATTTAAAAATAAACAGCCATACTCTTTAGAGTGCATGACAGAATAGTCATAGGTAATCTATGATATAATCATAAAGCTTTTGATGACCAAAGCTTTTTAAAATCTTGTCACTGTTTTCCTCCTTAGAAATCAATGATAGATTTTTTTTTTTAATGTTGATGTTGGCAATATTAATTTTTAACACTGACATTTCAGCCAGAATTATCAAACAAAAAGATCTTTTCTTTCATAAATTTAACATAGTACATGTTTTAACTTGCTTACCTACAAATACCAGCCTTGGACATAATACTATTTGAGTGGCTATTCCATCAGAGACAAGATTACTTGTGAGTTTACTTACTTAATTTAAATTCCTTTTGCTTTCCATTTACATACTTTGTTCCCTTTAACATGTTTGCGACTACGGTGAAAATTTCTATTTTCTTATTTGGTAGTGAAATTAACACGACAATCAAAACCATTCTCTATTTTATTTTGCAAATAGCATTTTACAATAAATGTATTAGTATTTTAAATGACTCGCCAATCGCCATCACATACGTCTTTTTAATTACAATTAAAACATAATATGGATATACAAATATGAACTTGCAATCTTGGAGAGTGCATTTGAATGTTATTAGACTATCAAAAAGGGTTGTGCATGTTTACTAGCGCTACTCAACAACAAAAACCATTTAATTAATCCCTAAAAAAATATTCTCAAAGTGCACCGAGGAGTAGCCAAAAATATACTATGAAACTTACCAAGATAGTTACATAAAAAATGCTGAAACTCGATACCACAAAAAATTTCAGGCCAGAGCCATTCAAATGCGCTTGGATTGTGACATTCTTAGTTTAGCTTGTATTTCTCTTAACCAACAGATTCTTCATCTGCAGAAGAAGTTCATTGTGCTCTTATCGTGTCTAATAACATCCAAACACAGAAATCTTGCCAAAAGTGGTATCTTAACAGATGATTTGCAGTGGCCTATTACGAACTGTGGCCCCCTAGCTCTTAAGTGAGATATAAAAAAAAACACAACCTCGTTTTAAAAAATTGGCACAAAGAGTAATTACCATTTAACTACCTCCCTTTAAACTAGATCTAATCATCTTAATAAAATATGTTGGTTAACAACAATGCATGTAAACGTCGCTATTTAAATATTAGCTAATTTACAGTATTTGCTTTTTGGAAATGCAGCATTGCTATGTCGTTTGCATTATTTGTTGCCAATGAAGCCGTGCGACCATATCAACGTGACCCTCCTCCTTCAGTTCAAGAATAAAGGCCAGGTCCACTACAAGTATAAGTCCACTACACCGAGAACATTCCAGAAAGATTATATTGAAAAAAAAATTGTCTTAAAAACGTTTCGTGCCTCATAAGATTGAATGTGACATGCCATTGGCACTTAGGAAAAGTTCTGGAGTTGCATAGTGAAAAGGTGAAAATTTTAGGACAATCCCCTAGAAAAATGTGTAGCTGCGGCCCTGGCCCTGATAAAGGTTGTAACAGTGACGTAGCCAGAATTTCAAAATAGGGGGGGTCGACCGACCGGGCCCAGGTAAAAGAGGGGGGGGTCCGGGAAATTTTTGAAAATAAAGGCCCTAAAACGGTATTTTTTTAGCTCTCCTGGCATTGAAAATAATCAACCCCAACGTCAATCTAGTATTATTATATAATTTTACGTTTAATTTAACAAAAAAATATTATATTTAGGATCGGAAGGGGGGGGTCCGGACCCCCAGGACCCCCCCCCCTGGCTACGTCACTGGTTGTAACTCTGTCTCTTTGCACTTGAAACCACTGATACAACGCTTAACTTTTTCATTTTTGGCACTTTTCATTCGTTTACTCTTATTTTTGGATTCTGTACAAACTCTTTTTAAACACCACGACCGGGATACTCCCTGGTGGGGATTAATATCCGCACTAGTGAGTACTGCGACTATCTGCAGTACTATCCTGATAATTAGACCAATTTGTAAATTACAAGGCAAAAACATGGTCCAGATTCCACTATAAACTGTACTATAGGTCTCTTGGCTGTATGGGCTATAACAGTCCTGTCTAAGGAACATTTCGGCCTTAATCAGTAATAAGACTACAAGATTGCACCACTCATCCTACACCCATCTCTATTCATACTTTGCTTAAAATAATACCTTCGTATGGTCGCCATTTCAGTTTAAAGTATTAAAAGTACCTATGTTAATAGTTTATTCCCTATAGGGAAATTCACTAAAAAGTACTTGTGTACGATAAAGTGCATGACGTCGCAAATGTGTTAATGTCTAAGGGAGGAAATTATCGTAGAATGAGATTATTCTGTTTACAAATAGTCATTCCACCTGATTGTCAATTTTAAAATAAATATTTTATGTTTATAGGTAAGCTCTGAAAACATCCATCATTCAGAAGAAATAACCATTTCAGTTTGACGGCAAGAACTTGTATTTGCTTTTTATTTCTTACTTTCTCCACACTAATAACTTCCGTTCCGAGTTATTGACCCAATGCTTTAGTATTCTCACCCTTTGCTCCTTACAACCCTACTTTGTGTCAACAAAGAAATTGGGCTTCTGTTAGTGATTCAGAGGAAGATCTTCTGATTTGTGTACAGTAAACACTCATCTATCCGAACTAATAGAGAAAAAAAGTAATTATGTTTGAAGTATACTAAATAAGAAATGTATTGCAGTACCGTTTGGGTACTCTTTTTATATACCACTTAGCGAAAAAGTTTTAATTGTGTATCCTGGATTTTCAAAATAAACAACCAGTATAGTAATGAAATCTGCTACAAAACTGTGTAGTTAAAATAGTGCATTCTTAATTTTGCTTTATCAACTGCTGTCAAAATTGGCTGTATTGATGAGTGTTTACTATCTTTGAAAAGATCAATGTAAACAATTATACCATAAGTGATTGTCTTTAGTTAGTTTTTTTTTTCAGTTTAATGTTTATAGTTTACAAAAATCTCTTTCTCTAAGTTTGTCTTTTGACTATCTACTGGAACGTAATTTGAAATATCACCTCTCAAGAATGTATTGTTAATATGCACCACTTTTGACTATTGATAAAACTAGACATTCCATCCCCATGTTAAAGCTCTTGTCAGTTTTAGAATCAAAAGGTAGAAAGGTTGATTTTAGCCACCGACAAGAGCGCACTGATTCAAATTTATTATTTCTGTCAAGTTCACTAACTGTTTCATTTTAATAATAGTAGGACGACTTATTATAAGCTATACTATTTATGTTACATCAACTATCTCTTTAACAAAAACCTAGAGAAAAAAATATCATTTTAGACTTTGGCTTTTCCTGTGAAAGGCTCATTCTATTTTATTCTTTTTGAATAAAAAATGGCTCAGCTGAGATGGAATGTCTACTTTGTGTTCTGAAGTCAATGGCACATACAAGCTAATCAATTTTGCTAATTAATTTTTGCCAGAATGAAAGAGCTGTATTAATATAGCTTATGCAATTATGACACAATCATTCCTGTCTGTAAATATAAATAGATAGTTACTAATTAAATTTATTAAAATTAATTACATCCAAAACTATAAGAAATTTTTTAAGATTATCCTTCTTACTTGAGGTTTGAAGTGATAGAAATTGGGAGAGTGTTACAGATAAAATTTTATTGTTCTTGTATCCTTTTTTTGACTAAACTTATAAATCTCATTACCCTAATAGCATTCTATGACGTTATTTCAGAAGCATTTTACACTGTTGACTTCTTACATCATGTAAGTAATGTGTCCATCTCATATTAAAGTTATTGAAATTTCTGTAAAGGACATTTTGTATTCCAATTTGTAGTTGATTCTGTATTATAATCGTTTTATGGTAGTATTTGTGTAGTTTTCTATGTGTTTCAATTATTTTATATATATATATATATATATTTATTTTAAAGTCTCATTGTTTACAAAAATAAAAAATTTGGATTTAGAGGGAATTGTTGTATATGTCTTAATAGTCGGAAAACTGCACAGTTAGATAAATTTATACATCACATACTACCAAAATGTGTTTTATTTTTCATTCTCTTTTTTGTAGTCGAGTGGTTTCCTTTTTAATAATAAGACTGATTGTTAGTCTAATATTTGACTGAAATAACATTTACATATAAAATTACATTATGGATTTGTATTATGATTGTAATACTAACTAACTACAGTTCAACATTTGATAGCTGTTGGTAAAAGTTTCTACATTTAATTTGTAATCTATGTTTAAATTTTGATTAAATAAATTTGTTAAAGGTTAGGATGATATGATCAGTAAACATGTTGAAAGCCAAACCAATTTTGTTTTTTATTGATTTAACAAAGTAAAACTTGAGGAAAGAATCACGGGTACAAAGGTGTATGTATGCAAAGTACGGAAATAACCTACCTTAGAGGACAAATTTCCATTGAAATCAATGTTTTCTACAGATCTATTTAAGCATATTTGTTTATGGTTGATTAATCTGTGTAATTTGTCAAATAAATTGAATAAAATACTTGTATTTATCTTTGGAATAAAATATTTGTGTACTAGACAATTAAATGTTTCCACAATTGAGTGCATCTAGTTAACAATTTGACTTTAAATTGTTCCCTTGACTGAGCCTAGTGGTATTGTTAATGTGTAAATGTTAGGATAATTGTGTAAATACATATAGGCTTATGCCTAAGTTTAGTTTGAATGCTACGCATTCTAATATTTCCGTGCTGGAGTCTCTAATTCCTCCGTATTTCTCTGTAAACATTGTTAAAACTAAGATGTTATTTCATGTGTATGATATGTACATAATATATTGTATTTATTTAATATAGTTTGTTTTTCCTTCACGACTGAAAGTATATATTGTGAATAAATAACAATTTCTTAAAACAACCTGTTTTTATCAGTTACTCCCAGTTGCTCCTTGTGTAAGCATATTTTTTGCCACGTTATAGGGTTATAATTTCTATCAAGGTCTCTGGGAATTGGGAAACTAAATATTAACGTTCCACTTTTAATTTTCTCTTTTGTATTACCAATGGCAATGGTCATTGGAATTTAAAAATTGCACATAGAGTTCTGATGAAGACTGATTCCTCTATCTCTCTATTTTGGCAGTAAAATTTACAGTGTATGAACTTGTTTGTTTAAAATACCTAAGTAATAATCCTAGTTTTAAAAACAGATTGTTATTTTGTTGTAATAGTTGTACAGTTAAAAAAAAAATACTGTACACAGACATCAATGTCTTTAACCAAACAGACACAATAAATTAAGTAGGCTATAGAATATGTGGAAACGTGATTGATTTCATAATAATGATTCAGTCATAAATAGCATGTAAACAAATTTTTTACCAAAGGATGATGTAAAAAATAAACTAAACATACAAATATCATGACCCAAAATTTTTAGTGTTGATTTTCAAAATTCATTGATAAAATAAATAATTAAGTATTATTTTTAGTCTGACTAAAATAATCATTCATAAAAATTATCAGATTTGGAAAAGAGGAATAGAGTAAATAGTAACAGTAGGCTTGAATTGGCGTTTACACCGGGCTCCAAAGGACTGAAGTTTTTTTGTCTGAATGTTTTCAACACTTACAGTGTTTACAATAGAAATTTAGTTCCCAGGAAAAGTATGTCTAAATGTTTACAACTTTTACCAAAACACGTTTATTTATTTCGTATAAAATGTAATCAAACAAAAACTACTAGTTGTGCGGTTACTGTGCATATGAATGAATACATGAGTGAAAATTTAAAAACGTACGTTTTCATGTCCCTGGCCTTTTACTTCGTAGATACTGGATTTGTAGTTTATTATTATGTGTTTTAATATTTTTTGGGACGGGGGCAACATGTTACACACATTTATTCGGTTTTAAATAGGTTCTAAGTATTTTTTACGTATTTTTAAAGTCTCGAAATTCACGACGACGTGTCCCTAGAGTACATTTTCCAACTTTCACGCTGTTTTTAGACTAATTATTCATGCCGAAATATATAAAGCCATATTTTTATGTCATCAATGGTTATTAAACTTACAAAAAAGGAGCATATTATAATTTTATTGTCATTGCAGACTGACTACCATGACAAAATAAGTCTGTCCCTCGATTTGGTGTCACGACCATTTGGGAAAAATATTCAACTTTGGAGCACGACAGTGGCAAGCCTGGCGTCGATGGAGTCAGTTGGTTTTAGAGACTAGTTCGGGGTATACGTCAGGATTGTAGTGCCGGTCGTTTTGAGTTGAAAGGAGGAATTACAAGATTAATAAAGGAAAGATTGTGTTTTTTGTAATTTTGGTGTGTCCATGACCGTACGTAGTCATTCGATGAAGTAGACATGATGTTAATGTTTGTTTATAAGATATTTCAATTGCTAGATTAACCTAGAAGTCCACTTTGTATCCTCGAACATGAGGTGCAGGGCTACCGCCAGAACAGAGCCAAATAACACGTAATTTCACGACCAAAGTTTCACGACCATCGCGGTTTTTTTCACGACCAATCCAGCCTTATGGATTATAGTGTGTTTGGTCGTGACAATAACTTTAATATCCTATATATAATACGAGTAAAGTTTGAATACTTGTCAACTCGATCTGGGAATCGGCCCTAACAAAATCGTTTATATTTACGGAATAACTAAGTTCTGTGTCAAAAATAAGTTCTAGACCAGTGGTATAGCCAGGAAAAATCTATTTTCGCCATAATATGAGTACAAACTCTTGAAAATTTAACATGGGCCTTATGAGAAAACATTCCGCCATTGTTGTCATTTTGTTTACATTTTAAGACATAACGTGACGTTCTGTACCCACGGGCACCTCAGCTTGCACATGCGCAGAAGTTCTCTATCCACAGTATACTAGCAAAACAAAATACAGTACAAAAGGAAAAACATCAGTTGTTACTATTAAGCAAAGATTAAACTGAACTCGATACATAGTAGTCAAGGGTAGCAGTGTGGAGTGTGGGATCTGTTTATGACGATTAGATTACGGTATTTGAAATTTTAAAATGCAATGTAAAGGGAGGGAAAAAGGTCCGTGACGTAGGAAGTGGTGAAGGAAGTAGTCAAGGCGAGTAGTCCGGAGTGTGGGAACTGTTTATGACAATTAGATTAAGGTATCTGCAATCTTAAAATGATATGGGAAGGGAGGGAAACAGGTCCGCGACATAGGAAGTGGCGAAGGAAGTTGTGAAGGTGAGTAGTCTGGAGTGTGGGATCTGTTTATGACGATTAGATTAAGGTTTCTGCAATCTTAAACTGCTATGAGAAGGGAGGAAAAAGGTCCGCGACGTAGGAAGTGGTGAAGGAAGTAGTAAAGGCGAGCAGTCCGGAGTTCGGGAACTGTTTATGACGATTGGATTAAGGTATCTGCAATCCTAAAATGATATGGGAAGGGAGGGAAACAGGTCCGCGACATAGGAAGTGGCGAAGGAAGTTGTGAAGGTGAGTAGTCCGGAGTGTGGGCACTGTTTTTGAAGATAAGATTAAGGTATCTGCAATCTTAAATTCTATGGGATGGGAGGGAAACAGGTCCGCGACGTAGGAAGTGGTGAAGGATTTAGTAAATGCGAGTAGTCCGGAGTGTGTGAACTGTTTATGACGATTAATTTGAGATATTTGCAATCTTAAAATGCTATGGGGAGGGGGGAAACAAGTTCGCGACGTAGGAAGTGGTGAAGGAAGTAGTCCAGGCGAGTAGTACGGAGTGTGGGAACTGCTTTTGAAGATTAGATTAAGGTATCTGCAATCTTAAAATGATATGGGGAGGGAGGTAAACAGGGCCGCGACGTAAGAAGTGGTGAAGGAAGTAGTCAAAGCGAGTAGTCTGGAGTGTGGGATCTGTTTATGACGATTAGATTAAGGTTTCTGCAATCTTAAAATGCTATGAGAAGGGAGGAAAAAGGTCCGCGACGTAGGAAGTGGTGAAGGAAGTAGTAAAGGCGAGCAGTCCAGAGTGCGGGAACAGTTTATGACGATTGGATTAAGGTATCTGCAATCTTAAAATGCTATGGGAAGGGAAGGAAACAGACCCACGACGTAGGAAGTGGTGAACGAAGTAGTAAAGGCGAGCAGTGTGGAGTTTGGGAATGGATTAATGTATCTGCAATACTAAGACTGCTTTCATATTAAACTAATGATTTTACCTGAGCAAAGCTCGGTCCCCAGGTACTAATTGTAAATTGAACAGTTTAGTTCAATTGAAACACATAGTTTTGTTATAACTAATATTATAATTGAAGGATTGTTTAGAAAGATTTAGATTATTCCAGACAATTCACGACCGTACCGCTTGTCCCTGACCATCACGTTTATGATTTCTATCATAAAAATTTCAAAAATTAAAATATCGTCATATTTCAATGTTTTTGAGCGGAGCGAGCGAAGCTCTTATACGTCGACTTTTATGCATTTCGTAATACGCAAACTCCTCCTAGACGGCTGAATCAATCGTTTTCAAATTTTGCATGGTGATAAATACCATATCGGTGAGTGCCAACATCTATATGGCGTTAAAAAAGTCTCTGAGGAATCCGCCCCACTGGGTCTCAAAGTTTCAATGTAATCCTTATGGAAGCAGTATTTGACACATAAACAAAGACATATGATCAGCTGTTGACTTTTAAATGCAGTAGATAAATAAATAGCTGATAGCATTATTCCACAGATATTAGAACATAAACGGTGGTATGGATCATAAATATAATCAAATGACGACACTAGCTTGAGGTCCGTGACGTAGGAAGTGGTGAAGGAAGTAGTAAAGGTGAGCAATCTGGAGTGTGGAAACTGTTTAAGACGATTCGATTTAGGCAGGTATCTGCATTCCTAACATTCTATGGGAAGGGAGGAAAACGAGTCCGTGACGTAAGAAGTGGTGAAGGAAGTAGTCAAGGCGAGCTGTCCGGAGTGTGAGAACTGTTTATGACGATTAGATTAAGGTATCTGCATTCCTAAAATTCTTTGGGAAGGGAGGAAAACGGGTCCTCGACGTAGGAAGTGGCGAAGGAAGTAGTCAAGGTAGGCTGTCCGGAGTGTGGAAACTGTTTATGACTATTAGATTTTGCTATCTGCATTCCTAAAATGCTACTGGAAGGGAAGGAAACATGTCCGCGACATAGGAAGTGGTGAAGGAAATAATAAAGGCGAGCTGTTCGGGGTATGGGATCTGTTTATGACCATTAGATTAAGGTATTTGCAATCCTAAAATGCTATGGGAAGGGAGGAAAACAGGTCCGCGACGTAGGAAGTGGTGAAGAAATAGTCAAGGCGAGCAGTCTGGAGTGTGGAAACTGTTTATGACGATTAGATTAAGGTATCTGCATTCCTAAAATTCTATGGTAAGGGAGGAAAACAGGTCCGTGACGTACGAAGTGGTGAAGAAAGTAGTCAAGGCGAGCTGTCCGGAGTGTGGGAACTGTTTGTGACGATTAGATTAAGGTATATGCAATCATAAAATGCTATTGGAGGTGAAGGAAACAGGTCCGCGATGTAGGAGTGGTGGAGGAAGTAGTAAAGGCGAGCAGTCTGGAGTGTGGAAACTGTTTATGACGATTAGATTAAGGTATCTGCATTCCTAAAATTCTATGGTAAGGGAGGAAAACAGGTCCGTGACGTAGGAAGTGGTGAAGAAAGTAGTGAAGGCGAGCTGTCCGGAGTGTGGGAACTGTTTGTGACGATTAGATTAAGGTATATGTAATCATAAAATGCTATTGGAGGGGAAGGAAACAGGTCCGCGACGTATGAAGTGGTTAAGGAAGTAGTAAAGGCGTGCAGTCTGGAGTGTGAAAACTGTTTATGACTATTAGATTATGGTATCTACAATCCTAAAATGCTATGGGACGGGAGGAAAACCGGTCCGCGATGTACGA